GCTTCCTGCTGGTGACCAACTTTATGGAGATGCAGATTTCATTTTCCAACAGGACTTGGCACCTGCACACTGTGCCAAAGCTACCAATACTTGGTTTAAGGACCATGATATCCCTGTTCTTAACTGGCCAGCAAACTCGCCTGTCCTTAACCCCATAGAAAATCTATGAGGTATTGTGAAGAGGAAGATGCGATATGCCAGACCCAACAATTCAGAAGAGCTGAAGGCCACTATCAGAGCAACCTGGGCTCTCATAACACCTAAGCAATGCCACAGACTGATCGACTCCATGCCATGCTGCATTACTGCAGTAATCCAGGCAAAAGGAGCCCCAACTAAGCATTGAGTGCTGTACATGCTCAAATTTTTCATGTTCATACTTTTTAGTTTGGCCAACATTTCTAAAAAGCCATTTTTTTAATTGGTCTTAAGTAATATTCTAATTTTCTGAGATATTGAATTTGGGGTTTTCATTAGTTGTCAGTTATAATCATCAGAATCAGAATAAACTTTATTATCATTGCACCGAGATACAACGAGAACATCTACGTACCGTCGTCCGAAAGATGGGCGAAGTGCACAAAGCTGCTACTATAAAAAGTGTGGCCCTCTTATTCTTATTCAGAATGATATTTTGCTTAGATGAGAAAAGGGAAGAAAACATGAGGAGAGACGGTATAAAAAAAGATCTCTCATGCCATGTCCTAGACAGGGCATGATTTGAGGCATCAAAAAACCTAGCACAACAAAGCAACATAAATAGATGTTATACATGTACATATAGGCCGGTGAAGACATTGAAGACATCACCATTAAAGAAATAAACATTTGAAATATATCAGTCTGTGTGTAATGAATTAATATCATATAAAAGTTTCACTTTTTGAATGGAATTACTGAAATATATCAACTTTTTCATGATCTTCTAATTTTACAACCAGCACCTGTATATCCACCAAGTCTGTGACATTATTGTTTCCCGTTAGTCAGGACTCACTGAAACATAGAAGGTTGGCTCTCCTGATGTCTCTGATGTACAGTAGTCTCTCATTTATCACGGGGGTTCCGTACCCTGTGCTCCGCTGCGATAAGTGAAAAACCGCAAAGTAGGGATACAGTAGTCCAAGTTCAAGTTTATGTACAGTAAACTTTGTCATGAAATGTGCCAGGCTGCAATCATTCTCATCGCCTGTTACCTCCAATCTCCCTCTTTAAATAAACTATTTAAATTTAAATACTGTAATATTTATATAAACAATCCAAGCAGCATGTTTTTGATGTCAACAGCATCACACCTTCACTGAACACAGTGTTATTAAAGAGCTGTTTTCCCCTCTCAGCCACATGATGATTTGCCAGAATCTCCTCAGAGCTAACCAAGAGTCTTTATCCATGGCCTCACCAAACTCCTCCCACATCTGAGCTTTTGCCTCAGCTACAGCCAAGGCTACGGACTGCTTGACCCTCCGGTACTCCTTAGCTGGCTCTGTAGTCCCACCAGCCAACAAGGCCTGATAAGACACCTTCTTCAGCTTGACAGCCTTCCTAACCCAGGGTGTCCACCACCGAGTTTGAGGATAGCCACCACGAGAAGCACCAACAACCTTGTGGCTACAGCTCAAGGCAGCCACTTCAATAATTGCGACATGGAACACAGTCCACTAGGACTCAATGGCCCCCGCCTCAGCTGGGATGCGGTTAAAGCTTTCCCGGAGGAGTGAGTTGAAGATCTTTCTGATGTGTTCTTTTGCCAAGTGTTCCCAGTAAACCCTCACTAGACATTTGGGTCTACTGGGTCTTTCCGGCATCTTCCCCCACCATCTGATCCAACTCACTACTAGATGTTGCTCAGTTGACAGCTCAGCGCCTCTCTTCACCCGAGTGTCCAAAACAAATGGCCTCAAATCAAATGACATGACCACAAAGTCAATCATTGATCTACAATCTAGTGAGTCCTGGTGTCAACTGCACTTATGGACACCCTTATGTTCGAGCATGGTGTTTATGATGGACAAACTATGACTAGCACAGAAGTCCAACAACAGAACATCGATTGAGTTCAGATCAGAGAGGCTCTTCCTCCCAATCACATCATTTCTCCAGGTCACATCACGTTCCTCCAGGTCACATTGTCATTACACACATTGGCATTAATGTCCCCCAGCAAAATAAAGGAGTCCCCAGCTAGCACACCTTCCAGCACTCCTGCCAAGGACTCCAAGAAGGCCGAATACTCTGAACTGCCATTTGGCACATAAGCACAAACTACTGTCAGAGCCGTCGAAGGCCTACCTCTCATCTCACATGGAAAACTCCAACAAACAGGTACCAAATCGGGAGCAAAGAGTAGACCCACACCAGCTCGGCACCTCTCACCATGGGCAACTCCAGAGTGGAATAAGGTCCAGTTCCTCTCAAGGAGATTGGTTCCAGAGCCCATGCTGTGCGTCGAAGTGAGCCCAACTATATCTAGTCGGTACCTCTTAACCTCACGCACAAGCTCAAGCTCCTTTCCTGCCAGAGGGGTCACATTGTCCCATGACACAAGAGCCAGCTTTGGTAAGCCAGGGTTAGAGCGCCAAGGCCCCTGCCTTTGGCCACTATCCATAGCATTATGCACCTGACTGATAAGGCCCCTCCTGCAGGTGGTGGGCCCACAGGAAGGCAAACCCACGTTACTCGTTCAGGCTGAGCGCGACCGGGCCCCATGGGTAGAGACCCAGTCACCAGGCACTCACTGACAAGACCTTTCCCCAGGCCTGGCTCCAAGGTGGGGGCCCGCTAACTCACGTCCATGCAAGGGACACTGAATTCCTTGTTTTCTTTTGTCCATATAAGTCTTCTGAATCACTCTTTGTTTGACCTGTCACCTAGAACCAATCTGCCTCATTGATCATTACCATTACCAATACCAATGCATGCAATGTAGAGATCCTACCAGAGGCATTTACAATTGCCCCGGTCAGCATATCATTCAGGTGCACAAACCTCTCCACCACGATAAGGTGGTGATTCAAGGAAGAGGAAATTAAATGTTGTTGTAACACATTATCCTGGTTTCATTAAAGAGTTCTTATAGAAGCTGATGGCTGTGGGCAGGAAAGATCTCTTGTAGCAGTCTGTCTTACAGTGAATCTGAAGAAACTGGGTGCAGACATGAATTGGTCTACTTGGACTTGCCTGTTTTTTTTGGCCTTCTTGGGCTGCAAGACCACCTGAATGCCAGGTACAACGATGCAATGGCCCTCCTCCCAGCAGCTTGTTGAGTTCCTCGTCATTGCAGACAGCCAGCTGCAGGTGCCGGGGGAGGATCTTGGTCTTCCCGCTGTCACGAGCTGCCAGCTCCAGAATCTCAGTGTTCAGGCACTTCATTGCCACCAGGTAGACTGGAATGCATCCATGGTGCCTCCTTTTCAACTCTTTTGGGATTTGGGGCTGTAGTTGATGTATTATTTGAGCTTTTGAAAAACAGCTGCTCCTGGTTGTAAAAAACAAAACACCTTGTTGTTATGTTTATGCATTATAACAAATGACCAAAAGTTAAAAAAAAGTTTTAGTAAAAATCATTCGAGCTGCACAACATCTGATACCAGAGGAAATATTCATCCAAAAAAGCAATTTACATCCAGCAAAAAAAAAAAGAAGTATTCAAAAGCAATATCTCAGAATTAATGTAACAGAGCTATTCCCACATAGAGCCATCTTGAGCAGTGCAATTCTAGAATTCAATAATGTTGTACATGTTAGGTCTGGAGCATCCATCCATCCATCATCTTTGCCCACTTCTTCCTTTTGGGTCATGGTGGTCACAGGTAGCCATGTCTAGCTATCACTGTGTGAGAGGTGGGGGAGACCTGGATAGGTCTCCAGTCGCTCACAGGGCCACTAATAGAGACAAATGAGACAAACAAACATTCACTCTCTCACTCTCACCTAGGGAAAATTTAGAGTTACCAATCAGCCTAACATGCATGTTTTTGGTCTGTGGGAGGAAACTAGAGTACCTGCAGAAAACCAATGCATGCACTGGAAGAACATGTTAACTCCATCCAAAAGGTCCCGTGCGAGGATTTGAACTGGCGGCGACCTTCTCGCTGAGAGGCAAAAGTTCTACCAACTGAGCCTCCGTGCCACCTGGTCTGGAGCTAATGTCATATAAATATTAGCTCTGGAGCTAAAATCATATATATTAGCTCTCAAGCTAATGTCAAATATATTGGCTGGGGAGCTAACGTCATACATATTAGCTTAAACATTTAGAACAAATACAGAGTCTGTGCAAATGATAGGGAAGGGAAAGGCAAACCTTATAAATAAGATCTCCTGATGCATGCTCAAACATAAAGCTTAAGCATAAAGCTTATAAATAAGACTTACTATGGACAAATTATGACCTAAAATCTCATAAAGATAAATATGAGGTCTTAAGTTTTGAGAAACTAAATCATAGTCAGGATGTGCTAAACCACAACTGAGATAATGTCTTACACTCATTTGATGGCATGCCATAGTTTTGTGACAGTATCTCAAAATTATGACTTAGAGGATCTTTTTTAAATCAGAGTGGGGTTATATGATTCAATAGAAATAAATAGAAACTAAAGCAAACAAAAAAGTATTTGCTTTGTCTCAGTTGGACAGGTTAGTCAGTGTTTTAGGTCAGTTCTACCCAGGGCTTTAAACTTCTCTACTTTGTATTTACTTTTTGTGCAAAGTATTGCATTTCATACAAAGAAAAAAAAAGGTTCCACATAATACTTGAGTGTACACCTGTAAGCACTGTGTTGCTGCTCACAGTTACACAACAAACCACACACGGTGACGCTGGCTCCTGCTGACACAGAGGGCCACTTTTTATTACATCACACACGTCTGTTTGAAATCTGAACTGCAGGAGTAGGAAGAACCAGCCCCGAGGAGCAGGAATACTGGTTCTGAAGGGAACAAACCTGAATTCAGCAGTTCTGGTCCGTCCCGTCAAACGTGAGGGAGGAACAGTCTCCAGCTGAGCTCCTGCAGGACGTCCATACAGCCGAGGAAAACTGTCCATGTTGTCCTCCTTCGAGGTTCAAAGGTTGTTGAAGTTTAGCAAACAGACCTGAGTTCTGACCTAGAGGTAAGACTGTCTTCCACAGGACTTCTGAACATTTTCTTGTCATCTGGTTGGGTTTTAGAGCTGAACCTTTAACTTTAATGTTTCAGACTTTCACTGAAACTAAGTGCAGTTCTTAAAGTTCTTAAATCAATCAACCTTTATTTAGACAATGGGATTTACCTGTCTAAATAAAGGTTGATTGATTTAAGAACTTTAAGAACTGCACTTAGTTTCAGTGAAAGTCGTTTTGATTAGAGACAGTCTGCCGTCCTTCAACAGTGTCTTTCACTCACGTCTGTTCTCAAAGCTGTCAGTTATAAACATTCCTGCTGTCAGATGGTCTTTGTCTTATGACAATCATCTAATCAGGCTCCTCACAGCAGAAATCCTGTCAGCGGTTTTAGGACAGATGCAAAACATCTGGAGTTTTCTGACAGAGCAGCACTTCAAACACGTTTTACACAGAAACCCATAAGTGTACTTTATAATCCCTGTGCGTGCATGAACATGTTGACTATGACCACCTGACGTAAAAAAAAAAAAGGGAATAACTGTGTCAATTTAACAGATATTGACCTGAATGTTGGTGTGGTAGTAGCTGAGACTGATCCTTCAAACATTCTCTGAGCTCTAGCAGACAACACAAGATCTTTGGTTAAAATTTTTGTATTAACCATTTGGAGTCAACTGTGTCTGTTTGAAAAATATCTCATGAACCACTGGATGGATTTTTAATCAGACTTTCAGGAAAATAATCAGCTGGTGTACGTCTAAAAGTGATTAACTTTTGGAGCCAATCCAAGATGGCCACCACAGCCAGCTGACCTTAGCAAACACAAAACTGAACACAATTCAGACGATTTTACATGTGTTGTGTTTAAATTTGTTGTAGTAGAAGCTGAGGGTTATTGGTGTAAATTTCCATGAGGTTGCTCAAAATGTTATTTTCAATGTTTCACCAAAACAACAACTACTCCGTCATTTAGACACGAGAGTATCTTTAATGTTCGTCCTTTAGTTTCCAGGAGCAGGTAAAGTTAACTGTTCTCACCTGGTTGATGGTGTCGGGCCTTTTTGTCTTACTGTGGTTTCTGTTGTTGACCTGAAACACGGAGCAGAAACTTGATTTAAATCCAAGGTTCAAGACTGAAAACGGAGCAGTCAGGCCCCAGATTAAATTGATAAAACAGATTACTTGTGTTTTAACCAATAAACAAAGCATGGACATTCAGAGGGTCAGTTTGAAAACAATAAAAAATATGCCCTTTAGTTTGACTTGGTTTGAGTGAGTAGAAGCTCCATCAGTTATGAACAATAATGAAACCACAACATGAATAACTAACGTGTTAAAGTGTAAAAACAGCAGTTTGTGTTCACTTTGTGAGGTTTAACCTTTGACCCACTTGCATTCACAGATCAGTGCTCTCGATTTAAAATAATCTGAGTTTATTCAAGGCTGTTAAAACAGTTTTCCACCTTCAGGACAAACAGAATGAGGCACATCCGACCAACATTTAAAAACTCATCCGATCTCAGAGGAGAGTCATTTGATTTATATTTGATGTGGAAACATGAAGAACTGAAACACCTGACCAGAAAAATACACTGACCGGAGGACACATAGTTAGTTTTAAACCTTTTCATTTTAGGAAATGTTTGGGAATTAGCTGCTTGCTTTCATTTATACTCCTGAAGATAATCCAACATGTGAGAGCAGCTTTCTGTCTCAGACACTTTAACTTGTTCATGCAATGTTTGTTTGAAGATGCTTTAAAAAGTAAAAGTCTATCTTCTGCTCACCTCTTTACATAAATCATTAACTCCTTGGACTTTAAAGTCTTCGAAGCCCAGTTCCAGGTCAGACTCTTGGACTGGGTCTTTGCTGATTGTAAATCAACAAAGACACAACATCTGTGTTGTCTTTGGCCCTGCAGATGGAGAAAACCTGTTTTGATCCGGTGTTAAGGGTGGCCATTTGTGGTGGGACGCATGGGAATGAGCTGACAGGTGTCTACATCGTGAGAGAGCTGCAGAAACAGAAGATGGACAAACTGGGACCGGTTTCTGTAACCACCGTTCTGACAAACCCACGAGCCACTGATGCTTGCAGAAGATACGTGGAGATGGATCTGAACCGCTGTTTCACAGACGCTCTGCTGAGGTAAGCTCAACAAAAGAGAAGCTGACATGAAGGATCCGTGCAACCCACAACCTGACAGAGAGTAAATGTAAATAAAATCAGAATGCAGTGATTCAAAATAAATCTCAGAAACCCATAATTTATTTACAATGAAGCACAGTCTTCCTCTTCTTTCAGCTAGTCCCTCTTCAGGAGTCTACACAGTGAGTCATTCACGCACATACTCTGTCTTACTACGGCTGACTTTCATTCCTCTTCTTTAAGTGCATACCTCCACCTCTTCAAGTTAACTTCCACCTGTTCCCTGTTCTCACCACAGATCCCAATGTCATCTGCAAACATCGTAGTCCACGGGGATTCCTGCCTGACCTCATATGTTAGTCAGTTCATCACCAGAGCAAACAAGAAGGGGCTCAGAGCTGATCCTTGATGCACTCCCACCTCCACCTTGAAGCTATCTGTCACTCCTACAGCACATCTTACCACTGTCCTGCTGTCCTCATACATGTCCTGTACCAGTCTAACATGTCCTGCTGTCCTGTCATATGATTTTCTCAATCCACAAAGACACCATGAAGTTCTTACTGACCCTCTCTGTACTTCCTCCTTGACACCAAACCCACCCATCACTTCCTCATCTCCTCTGTTTCCTTCACCAACATGTCTATTCAGGTCTGCTCCAATCACCACTCTCTCCTCCCTGGGAATATTCTCCATCACTTCATCCAGATCTTTCCAAAATGTGTATTTCTCCTTTATGTCACATCCAACCTATGGAGCATACCATACCATACCATACCATACCATACCATACCATACCACTTTATTTATAAAGCACTTAAAACAGCGACAAGACCAACCAAAGTGCTGTACAGACAAAACAACACACAAAGCAATATACAAAATGAGGTAAATAAGAATATAGACATAAAAATGATGCAGATAGTGATGACAAACCAGTGTGGAGCATACAGGTTCAAAACACAGATCATCTGGTGTTGAAAGCCACCGAATAGTAGTGGGTTTTTAAACGGGACTTGAAAACCGAGAGGGAGGGGGCCTGTCTGACAAGCAGAGGTAACTCGTTCCAAAGTCTTGGTCCTGCTACAGAGAAGGCCCTGTCACCTCTGCACTTAAGACGAGTTCCTGGAACTGTGAGGAGCAACTGGTCCGCTGACCTCAGGGAACGCGATGGGACATACGGTTGTAGCAGATCAGAGAGATGGGGGGTGGGGGGGGGGTTGCGAAACTGTTCAGTGATTTGTCGACATACATGAGTATTTTGAACTGGATTCGAAAGTGAACCGGTAACCAGTGCAGTGAGGCCAAAACTGGTGTAATGTGCTCTCTTTTGCCCGTACTGGTTAAAAATCGGGCTGCTGCATTCTGGACAAGTTGTAGTCGTGCAATGGAGGTCTGACTGATACCAAACAGGAGCGAATTGCAGTAATCAAGCCTAGATGTAATGAATGCATGTATTACTGTCTCCAGGTTCTTTTTGGACAATATGGGCTTCAGTTTAGGCAGCCGCCTCAGTTGGAAGAAACATGATTTAACAATCACGTTTACATGATTGTTAAGTTTCAGGGAAGGGTCCATTATCACGCCCAGATTAGTGACTCTTTGTTTTTCTGACAGGGTTAGAGCGGAGAGGTCGATGCAGTGGTTTGTGATTGTGTCGTTGGGAGGGAACAACATGGCTTCAGACTTCTTATCACTGAAACTTAAGAAGTTTAAAGCCATCCAGTCCCTGATGTCAGCCAGGCAGTCGAGCAGCGGTTGAATAGAGCATGTACCATTGTGTCTTAGGGGGAAGTAAATTTGACAGTCATCGGCATAGAAGTGGAAGGGCATGTTGTGTTTCCGGAAAATAGCACCAAGCGGCAGCAGGTATAAAGAGAATAGGAGGGGACCCAGGATGGACCCCTGCGGAACCCCCCATTTAAGCTCTGCCTCTGCGGAACTAAAATCCTAAAAGCATAACCACTGACAGCATTTAGCATCAGATGTTTTACTTCTACCTTCAGACACATCACCCTATCTGACACTCTTTCACCTCTACTACATTCTTTGCCAACTCTTCCTTCAGGATCACCCCTATTCCATTTCTCTTTCTATCCACACCATGGTAAAACAGTTTAAATATGTCACTCTGCATCACTATGTGCCTATGTGCAGAACGTTTTTTTCAATCTCAGGCTATCTTTTCTCGACTAAGGAGTGAGAGCTTTATAGGAATTTTTTGCCTCCATATCCTGTACGTGTCACTTTCATTACTTTTTGTCTGTCTAAACAGGTCTCACTTGTAAATGAGTCTTTGAGGCTCAGTGTGATTTATCTGTGTAAATAAAGGTTGAATTTAAAAAAAAAAACTGCTCCGATGCTGCAAGTCTTCCTGCCCTTCTACTTGGTCTCTTGGACACATAAAACATCTTCTCTGCATCATGTCAGCCAGCTCTCCATCTATGCCTGTCATTGTTCCCACATTTAGAGTTGCCACCCTCAGTCCTACATTGTTAACATTCCTCTTCTCCACCATACGGAGCCGCTGCAGTCTTCTCTGGACCAGAGCTTGTTAAAATGGACTCAGGGGAAGTCCAGAACTGTCAGACAAAACAATTCATTTTGAAAACCATGGACTCCCTGTCCTTCATGGTAAAGAGGAGAGGGACCATCCAGCATGTTATCAGAGAAAAGTTTTAAAGCCTGCCTCTCTGATGGTATGGAAGTACATTAGTGCCCAGGGCATGGAAAGTTAATACACTTGGAAATTCTCCATCAATGTAGAAAAGTATTTAAAGGTTTTAAAACAACTAATGATCCAGTCCAGATGACTTTTCCAGAGAACGTCTTGCATATTCCAGCAAAACAATGCTCAACCACAGATTGCATCCATGACTACAGCATGGCTTTGAAGAGTCCTGGTGCTGGTCTGACATGCCTGAAGTCAGACCTCCTGGTAATTATAAACATTTGGTGCATCATGAAATGAAAATACAGCAAACAAGACCCAGTACAGTCCTATATCAGACCAGTAGGACAACAGTTCCCCCAAAAATCTTCATCAAGTTGACTCTTCAGGTCCTCCAAACTCTCTAGCAGCTGGTCTCCTCTGGTCCAGCAATTGGTCTCCTCAGGTCAAGCAGCTGGTCTCCTCAGATCCGTAAAAGCCTCCAGCAGCTGGTCTCCTCGGGTTCAGCAGCTGGTCTCCTCAGGTCCAGCAGCTGGTCTCCTCAGGTCCTGCAGCTGGTCTCC